AAATATTACAAAGACAAGAAACTTCAAAGGCACAGTTCACCCCAAAATCAAAGCAAGAAAAACTCAACAGTAATGTCTCTTTCCAGAAATCATGACCCAGTTACTCAAGATAATCCACAGACCTTGTTGTGAACTGTTTCATGTAGGTACTACTTTCTCTCTACCAAACATCACCTGCCAACTGTACCACTGCGCAGAAGGAAGTGTGCATCTACCGCTAGCTCACCTAGCACCACTGACATAGCTAACATATCCTCATACAACGGTGCATATGATATCCTATGAATTAGCACCCCACAAATGATGTTGTGTGCTTAATGTAACACTCCAAAGGACAGGCTTAGGCTAGTCAAGTGTAGGAAAAGAAACATAGTGAGGACAAACCTTAAAATGAATAAAAGTTTACTTAAATTTGACACAATTCTGAAAACCTGGGGAAAGTCCTGTGTTTTGTGACTCATCCATCGCCCCAACCTGCCTCCTATCTGGCTGCCCGGGGGCTTTTCCTTCTTTATCCCTGCTGGTACATTGGTTACATGATTGCAGCCTTCCTAAATACATGGGTCATGCACCATTTACTGGCTCGTGATTTTGTGGGATATGTACGAATTTAGGTGCATTACTTTTCATAGGAAAACGTACAAACACTTTATGTGAACAGCCTGAAAAAATTCAACATATCTAAAAGTCTGTTAGTGTTTCATGTTATAACTATGTATGAATTTTCCTTGCTCCATACTAGTGTCTTAGCTTTTTACTTTTGCTGAAGTAGGTCAACTTTGTATGCCGTATATAAACTATATTAAGCAAAAATAAAGAAGTCTCAACCATTAAAGTTGATCCAACTTTACACCTTGTCAACTTTTGTGTCAGAATCAGCTGTAGACTGACTCAATGGCCTCTCATCCCGTCTTGTCAAATATCGCTGTTTTGTCGGTGGACTTTCTTGTTTACATTTGCCGTGCTAGGTGTCCTCCAGCATCTGTTGTTGACATTCCAGGACACTGTGCCAATTTCTGTCTGTCTTTTTAAAATACACTTCATCTTTAACAGGAAATGTACAGTTTCTGCTTGTTAGATGCATCCAGTGTTTTTAAAAAAAATCTCACAACGTACGTAAAATACAACATATTTACATTTATTTCCTTTTGCAACAAAAGCACATGGTTACGTTAAGAAAAAATATCATGTATTGGCTTAAACCTCACATGGGAACCAAAGAGTGGGCTCGTGGGTGAAAGTCCGAGGTTTGTTTGATCCATACATCTCCCCTCCCGTCTGCCATGTAGGGACTTTACAGCTCCTTATGTTATGTTGTTACCAGCGGTTTTTCAAACTGACGCTGTCCAGTGGTATTAATAAACTAACATCTTATCATATCGCTGCGAAAGGTGGCTTCTTGTGTCGATGTCTGACGCCAAAATCACGGACAAAATCGCAATATTTGACGACTAGGTAATAAGAACAGGCTGGCTGACTTAACATGGATTGGTGTTCTTTATCTATCACTAGATGGCCCAAACAGTGTCCACGAACAAGGACAGCAGGTCTAAGTTAAGCAGAATGAAGTATAAAATGTAATGTCCTCAAAAAAGGTCGTATTAAGAGGTTAAAATAAATCAAGCTAAATTAGAAAATCCATTCATTTTTTGATTGAATGCAATCAGGCTGTTTTTCATGTAACACCTGCTCAGTTTTTTGCTTGACAACAATGAACAAAATCAAATTAACATGCCGGATAATAGCTGGAGCGTATTTGCCTATAGGCCCTTCTATTGCCCAGTTATGTGTCTGTCATCTTATCCACATTTGCGTGCCAGAAAGAGACGTTCCATAATGCAGCGCCGACCAGGAACAGAGCGCACGACTGCAAAACATGTCCATCAAGGAGAAAATAAAAATAGGCTGTTTCCTCTAAATTCACTCAATCAATAATTCATGACGCGCACAGAAGCTTGATTTATGAAGGAATTAAATGCTGTGGACTGGGCCTCGCAGCGGCCGTCCATCTCGGGGACGTGGCAGCCGAAATTAAACATGAAAGGCAAACACTGAGAACAACCACATCATCTCGCCGAGAGTGGACGTATTAGAAGGCTTCAGTGGCACGAGCGCTGGCCGGCCTGATTGGACAGAATGACATTGGTGATTTGAGTGGGAGCCATGTAATTTGTTTGAAAGTTTTCGTGAGTTATCTATGTTGAAGTGGGTCAAAGAGCCACGTTCATACCATTTGGCAACTGAAGGTGGAGATCAAAGGCAAACATGCACCTGCTGACCTGTGAGGATCATGTGACTGCCGTGTGCCTTTCTGACCCCGGCTCTGACTATAAACATGGAAACACAGAACATGACAGCTTTAGTATTTTATAAGGTGAACTGAAATCTTAATCCTCTCCACTGTCAGTAATTTATATTTCCTGTGTAGGGGAATATAAATTATAATGACACTGTGGCTTTTCTTCATATTTTCTGTTTCAACATTATAAACCTATTTTGGACATATTTGTAGAAAGAGTGTTGAAGCTTCAGCTCTCTGAGTGCACATTTCTAATGGCAACTGTTACTGACATTTGATTTGCCAGCATTGCAAGAAGACAATAATAATGTTGACTATTAGCTGTTTGTTACCATGGCCGACAAGGCAGACACACTACAGCCACGCCAAAACACTTCCATCTCAAGAAAAGTGCTGCAGCTTCAGAAATGACTCCATTTTAAAAACACATGAAAATCTAAAACAAAGACAATGCGGAGGCCATAAAGTCCACCAAAAGTGATGTTTATTATCTTCTGGGAAAATGTTAATTAACTTGTTCCCACAAGAAATATAAATATCACCTTTCAGGACTATAGGGTCTCTGTACAAATCAATTCATTAGCAACAAACACGATGCAAAGGAAAAAGACACACAAACAAATTAAAACAAATGCAACAGGACAATGCTGTGTATTAACACAACTGAAGTCCTCCAGGCCTCTAGAGGGAGCTATATAAATCTGTTGCTCTTTTATAATATTGTTAAATACTAAGGCCATATGTAAAACGGAATACATACCTTCTTGTGTCGCCTCCTTACTTCACTTTTCTTCCCACTACAAAAACAAACACTCCTGTCTGGTCTCTCTCTGGTTGAAAATCAAGCTATTCCACTTAGAGCTCCCCCTGGAGGCCTGGAGAACTTTTGTGTTGATGCGCCGCATTTTTCTGTTGCTTCATTTGTTTGTAAATTTTTGACTTTGCATTGTTTCTGTGTTGCAGCGTGTTTGCTGTTAATGTGTTCATTGTCATTACATTTGTTTTGAATTTTCATTTGTCTTTGAGTTGCCATCATTTCTCCTGATGGAAATGTTGCGGCATTGTGCTGTAGCACGTTTGCCCTTGTCAGCCTTCATAATCGGTGCCTTCGCAACACTCAACACTTGGGACAAACTATTTGTGCTGTTAGGTTTGTATTTCAATCGGAAAGTGGGACCTAGCATGCTAATGGAAGCTAGTAAGTCTGGCTTTGTGACGTTGGTGCCACAAATTCATGAGAACACTAGACAAGGAGGCACCTTATCTGTGTACAACCATTGAATATCGATGATAGACTAACAGATGGATGGATACCTGTATCCTACATTGTAACATTTCACTTCCGCCACTCCTCAGTGCAATTGTAGAAGATAAGTAATGGCTAGAAAAAAATTGGAGAGAGGGGTTGTGGATGTGTCAAACAAACACGGACTTTCACTCAGGAGAGCAGTCCAGTAACATAATAAAGCCAAACCATGTTCTTTTTTTCTAAACCCAACCACGTGCGCTTGGTTGTTGAAGAAAAACAAGTCAATTCATGGTGTTGTACCAACGTAGTGCTTTTATTTTGAAAGAGACTGTATGCATACTGCACATTTCCTGTGAAAACAGAAGTGTATTTTGAAAACGTGGACAGTCCATGACCAACACTGATATGTGACGAGGTCGGAGTGAGAATGTGTTGATAGAATATTTGATGTACAGTTATAGAATAATATATACATATCATTTTATTGGAGACGTTACTATTTTACAAAATAAAAAACTGGATGGCCGTGCCGTGGATGGGTTTCCCTTTTTCATGGGTAAATACAGCAAATGGCTGTTTTTAATTTAATGAGAGTTCTTCTTTGAACACAGGAATATTTTCAAGGAGCCAATCACTCATAGGGGCCCACTCTCTCTATGGGCCCCCCACTGCACTGCCTGTACTGTCTATATTTACGCCCCTGCATGTGTGTGAGTTTTCAGTAAGCTTTACCCCATTGACGAGAAAACTACAGTAGAAGAGGGCAATGGTGTCCGTGTGCGCGCGCGCGTGCGGGAGACGCGTCTCGCAGAGTGCGTGCAGCGCAGTGCTGAATCAGTACCAGAAGCAGTGTAGTCAGATGAAATGAGTTTGGCTGTGTCTAAATGCTTCAAATCACTGCAAGAAAGTCCGGGAAGTGTGCTTTTCACTCGGGGCTAATTATCCAGCTGTAATTAACAAAAGAAGCGAGGTTAGTGGTCCTGAAAGAAAGAAAGAAATCCAACAGCAGACCTACACACACGCCAACAAGACTATAAGGCCCTGCAGGGACAGAGTGTGGCCCTCAGGATATATATCACACTGTAAATAACCCGGAGGATTAGAGAAAGGACTCTCTGTCCCGGGGTGAGTTTTTATTCAGGATGTGACTCCAGGACGAATCGGTGGATTTTGTGATTAAAATGTAAATGAGAGCTCAGACGGGTTAAAGGTAGGCCGGCTAATAACATGTAGAGATGGAGTGTGTTGAGAGACAAACTATTTTCTGCAGTGTGAGGGCAGCAGGGAGGATCTGTGGCTTAAAGCCATCACGGAGCTGCTGGAGGAGATGCATTCTTTATTCTGAGGAGGAGGAGGAGGAGGAAGAGGAGGAGGAGGAGGGACAGGAGGGGAGAGAGAGAGAGAGAGAGAGAGAGAGAGAGAGACAGAGAGAGAGAGACAGAGAGAGAGAGAGAGAGAGGGAGGTGAGCAGAGCACACACGTCGCACTATCAACTGAATCCATCTAAGAAAACAACTCGCAGGGAGTCCGGCTCCGAGCTGCGAAGACACTGAAGGCAAGTTTGAGCTCCCCGGTTTAACAGCGCACCGGACGGACGGACGGAGGGACGGACGCAGCTGGCCGTCATGGCCCGTGGCGGACACTTCGGCTTGTGCGTCCTCACCGTGCGGGCAGGAAGGGGAGAGGTGGGCGCTGCGATCACCCTGCCGCCGCTTTCTTTGCGCTGCGGACGGTGTTGAGTGAAAGGCGGAGGAGCTGCGAAGGAGAAGCTGGGAGGGAAACAGACAAACAAAAAAAAAAAAGTGCGGACAGCAGTGAGAGGACAGCCACAACCGAGGGGACCCATGCAGGCAAATATGCTGTTCAGTAGACTCACCGGGTTCACGCTGCTGCTGATCGGAGCCGAGTGTTACCGAACGGACCTTTACGCACGGTCATACAGCGGGACCGCATGAAGGACGGAGGCGCAGAGAAAGGGGAAAAGTTAACGCGGTTGCGGTTTTTGTAATGGATAAAGGCTCGCCAAAGGTACAGTGGATGTTTCTCTGTTATTGTAGAGAAATGTGGAGGAAACATTCAGGCCTGAGTTTCTATCAATCCACTTCTTTTTCAAATAAATGCATCATGTTTAATCTTTACCGATACTAAAATATGTTGTGCACCCTGCACGCAGAGACAAACTGCCATCAATCCACCAATTCCCACTGACTTTTTTTATGATTAATTAAATCAGTTTGCAGAATTATTTGTAGGATTATTATATGTTTCATCGAGTTAAAGATCAGAGCGCTACAAAGCGCGCAGCTCCACATTTTTCACGCAGGAGAAAACCTGACTTTTTTTCATAAGGGGGGGCTTTCACTCTCAATGCACTGCACGGTTTTCAATTCCCCCTTTGAAATAATTCATTCAGATGAACAGCGCTCACTGGGCAGGCTTTGAAGTACACCTGATCCGCCTCTTATCGCCTCTTAAATACCCTCTCCATTTTAAACTTTTAATTGCGTTTTTCTGTCGCTAAATCCAGTTCTAATCGGATTGTCCTGGCCACATATCACAGCCTTCATCTGGCGCTGAGAAACTCTGCGCCCTCAGCTGGAAATTAAATCAAAAAAAGAAAGAAAAAGTCTCCCTCCTTGATCTGTCCAACGTTTATCAGGTTGTCCAGTAACTTTACGCGTCTTTTTTACGCGTCCGATTTCTCGTGTCTTTTTTTATTTATGCAGCTATAATAATAATAATCTGGATGCTGCTGCCTTCTGCTGTTGATTCTGCTGCTGTGGCAGCACATTTTTATCGCCTCATGTGGTTGCTTATACCCCCTGAAGCTTATTTGATTAAATTTAGCTCTTTCAATTTAGAAAAGTAGATCACAGATGTGTGTCAAAGGATTGTTTCTCCAGCTCTGCCACAAAAGAGGCACACAGTCAACAAACAGCGCAGCGCTGAGGATGTAAAGCAGCAGAAGGCAAAAACATGGATTTCCTTTCATTTTTTTTTTTTTTTTATGTTTCCATTTTGTCCCTTTCTTTGCAGCAGTTCCCTGTCATGGCTGCCAGATGTGACAAATGTGAAATGTAGTTAAATAATTTTCTGAATGTTGTGGCTCCTCCTGCTCCTTGACACCTTAATCCACACTCATGGCCGCTCCTGTGCTTAACATTCAACCCATCCTTCCCATTATTGTGTGTCACCCAGCGTTGCCTCAGAGTGGGGCTTCATTTAAGCTGAAAGCCATTGATGACAACCGGTATCTTTCAATCATGTGTGAGAGGAAGAGGAGGGGAGATGGCTCATAAAACTTGGAATAATGGAGCTGAGGTTCGACTGTAATCCAGCGGCCTTCACTACGAGCTCCTCTGCGTGTTGAAAAACAGCCTGTATCGATCATTTATCGCAGGTGGAGAGATTAAATTATTTTCCAATCCCATTTCTGTTGACAGCTTGTGTATGTCACCGCGCTGAGAGGTGGAGCTGACGTGTAGGGTCTCTATTCCTCGACTGCCTTTTGTTTTCTAACTCCTGCTCCCCTCTCAGCCTTAAATCTGGGGCTGCTGGGGCGATGGCGTGCTCAGGCCTACAAACCAGCTCCTCCTCAGGCCACCGGCAAAACAGTCGCCTGTGTTTACTGTAAGCACTTGTGTGTTTACTCGTGTACCTCTGCCCACAATGTCCGCTCAGGCAGACGGGGAGAAAGACACTTGTGTTCAGTTCTGTTTTTTTTTTTTCCCCAGGAAATATCTGCACAAAGAGGTGCTGCCTTCTTGAGCTTTATCTCTTTTTAGCATGTTTTCCATGAAGCAGCACTGATGTTGCTCTGTGAATCTGTGTCCTTGCAGTGCTCTATTCCCTCCTTTGATAGAGCGGAAGGGATAAAAGCCTTCTTTATGTCTGTGAAACCGGATGTGCAAGAACTGTTCTGAATATTTATCAGATGCTTTTTTTTTTTTTTGGAATAGCCGGTGCATAATTTGACATCGGTGGTGAACGATATGTTTTGTAAGACAGTTGCTGTGTGTGTGTGTGTGTGCATGTTTGGGTTTCAGATAAAGAGCAAGGAAAAGAGGCCCCTTTTTCTGAGAACAGGCCACCACCACCACCCACACCCTAATCCAGCATTTCTTTGTTTTCCCACAGGTCTCTGGATCCAAATGTCACCCCCCCTGGACTCTGCCCTGGTCGGGGACCGGCAGTGTGTGACGGACAGGCGAGTGGAGCCTGCGGTGGCTCTCTACTGCGTGGCTTCAAATTGGCCCTGGCTGAGCTCTGCATGGAGCAGCGAGTGAAGAGTCCTGCTATGGTCTGATGTCTCAGCATGGATGGAGTCAGTCAGAGGACTGGCCACCACTAATGAGACCATCGCTCTTCAGCTGAGGACTAGCATTTACAGGATTACTCCCACGGTTTCCTGCTCTTTTCCCAGCTAACTGCATCATTACCAAACTCTCCTAGTTGGACTTTTTCGTGGCTCTGGTTTTTGGTGGATATATACGTCATTCTGATTTTCATATTTCTTTTATTCCCTTTTTTTTTTAATTGTTGGTTTCCCTTTTCCTGTTTTGTTTTTCCACTATGGAGTTTCTGGCTGGACCCTGGAATAAAGATTGGGCTTCATTCTTGCAGTTTTGGTTGACTGTCATCCTGAGCCTCCAGATGCAGTTCAGCCCGGGCGCCTCTTGCCCGGAGGAGTGTCGTTGTGACAAAACGTTTGTGTACTGCAATGAGCGCAGCCTGACGTCAGTGCCTCTGGGGATACAGGAGGGCTTCAAGGTCCTCTACCTACACAACAACCAGATCAACAATGCTGGCTTCCCTCTGGAACTTCACAACGTAGCCACCGTGGAGACGGTGTATCTCTACGGCAACCAGCTGGACGAGTTTCCTGTCAATCTGCCCAAAAACACCAGGGTCCTGCACCTCCAGGAGAACAATATCCAAACCATCTCCAGGGCGGCCCTGGCCCAGCTGACTAAGCTGGAGGAGCTGCACCTAGATGATAACTCCATCTCCACAGTGGGGGTGGAGGAAGGAGCCTTTAGGGAGGCTGTGAGCCTCAAACTCCTCTTCCTCACCAAGAACCACTTAAGCAGTGTTCCCATCGGCCTCCCCGAGGACCTGAAAGAGCTGCGGTTGGATGAGAACCGTATCGCTCACATTGCAGAGGAGGCCTTCCAGAATGTGACACGCCTTCAGCGCCTCCTGCTGGACGGGAACCTGCTGACGGACGAGGGCATAGCGCCTGGGACCTTCCAGGACCTGTCAAACCTCCGTGAGCTGGCCCTGGCCCGCAATTCACTCACCTTCCCCCCTCCGCTCCTCCCGAGTCAGTCGCTGGTCAAACTCAGCCTGCAGGAGAACCAGATTGACCAGATCCCTGTGGCGGCCTTCGCTGACCTCAACAGGCTGGAAAAACTGGATATCTCCAGCAACCAGCTTCAGACTCTGACGCAGGGTGTGTTTGATGGCCTGTCAAGCCTGAGGCACCTCATGGTGCGAAACAACCCGTGGCGTTGTGACTGTGCTGTGAAATGGGTGGTGGTGTGGCTCAAATCTTTGCCCCCCTTCATCAATGCCCGAGGCTTCGTGTGCCTGAGTCCAGACAAGGTGCGTGGCATGGCAATCAGAGAGCTCACGCTGGATATTATAGAGTGCCCCGTGGATGCTGACCAGCCGCCCTGGCCCACTCTCCGCTCCACACCCCCTCCCCCACCCACAACCACCCCTGTCACCACCATGATTTCCACCCTCATCACCACATCCATCCCTTACTACTTTGACTCGCCCTCCCCTCCCTTACCCCCGATCCATAACAACCCTCCTGGGCCTCTGCCTCCGTACGAGGACCCCCTTCAGATCTCCTTCCACGTGGTCAACTCCACCAGTATCGAGGTGAGCTGGGCTTCTTATTTCACCGTCACAGCCTACAAGGTCACTTGGGTCAAAAGGGGCCAAAGCCAAATAAACGAAGGGATGCGGGAGAGGACAGTGAGCGGGGACCGGCGGCACATTAGCCTCACCAACCTGGAGCCCCGGTCCGTGTATCGGATCTGTGTGCACGTGTTGGACACCCTTAACTCCTACAGACCTGGAGAGGATACTATATGCTCTGAGGCCAGGACCAAGGCTGTTGCGTCGACGAAGCCTCCCGGTAGAGAGCAAGCTCCTCAGGAGAGCATCAACTCCACGCTGCTAATGGCTGGGATCATAGGCGGGGCGGTGCTCATCGTCCTGGTGACGCTGCTCAGCCTCTTCTGCTGGCACATGCACAGGAAGAGCCGGTCGTCTTCGACCAAGTGGAAATACAACCGGGGCAGGAGAAAAGACGACTACGGTGAGGCCGGGACCAAGAAGGATAACTCCATTCTGGAGATGACTGAGACCAGTTTCCAGATAGTGGCGCTGAACAATGAGCAGCTGCTGAAGGGAGATTTTCGCATTCAGCCCATCTACACGCCCAACGGGGGCATTGGATTTAGAGACTGTCACCTCAGTAACAACAGCATAGCCTACTGCAAGAGCAGCAACGTGCCGAGTACAGAGTTCTGCCACACGTGATGCGGCGGCAAATAGTAGAGCAGCATTCACACACACATACCAGAAACACTTAATGCATAAGTACACACAGCGTTTGTGACAAAAAACATAAAGATTCTAGTGAAATATAACTGTACTATATATATTTCCAAGTTCTGTCTACGATGTAATTTATACTGTGGATAATAATGTGGGATTCTCTGCTATCTTTTTTATCTTAGAGGAAGAGATACAAGTGTTTCTTTTTTTATAACCAGCAGGGTTTTGAAAGTTGTTTTAATGGTCAGTACTGTACATGAACACGGATTTGTACAATCACGGCACCCTGGGTGTAGCTTCTGACGGACGCTGTCAGCCTTGGAAACGTTGGGGCACATTTAGAGGGCTGGGATCCTTTGCTAACCACAGAAGCAAAAACGAAAACAAAAAATGGCCTTTTTTTTTTTTTTTTTTTTGCTCTTTGAAACAAACCCTCCCCGGTTCAACAGAACAGTAGTAAAGACAACACAGCACAGGGGAAATCCAAACACTGCTGATTAGAGCACTGTGGAAATATAGCACTGGTTCACTGGTGGTTGTAAAAAAGAAGTGCACTTTCTTATTAATGGAGGCAGGAAATGAGCGGAGGTGGTGATGTAGGTGGTTGTGTAGGGCGGATGTCATGGTGCTGTTGAGAAGCCTGGGCTGAGATTTCCCCAAAGTGCCTTCACGTTAAAAGCATCTTTGTTCTGCTGGTTTGCGTTTGGAACAAAGGTGGGCTCAGTCAGGAGACACTTTTTGGGAAAACTCTGGAAAAGGGTGTGTCATTCTCAGCTTTTTTTTTTTTTAGCGAGGAGGTGCAATTTATTAAAAGGAACAAAGGGTTATTGTCCCTAATGAGGTGCATGGATGTGCTGAGACCTGCAGATCCTTGTGAGGGAAATGTGTTCTGCTTCTTTTTGGCGAGTGAGGCCACAAGGGGGCAGCTTCCCTCAGCGTCGTGTGTGGGACAGGAAGTCAGACACAGAGAGGGGAGGAAAAAAAAGCTGCATAGATCATTTTACCTCCACCATTCCCCTGGAGTCCATTACCCAGACGACATTACTCATGCTCAAACAGCATTGTTTGGAGTATTATTGCTCATCGAGCTACTTAATGATGTGGAATCATTTAAAACTAACAGTGTTTTCAGTGTTTGGTGGTTAAATGATATGGATTTTCACCACTGTGGTTGTGTGTGTGTGTGTGTGTGGAGGGTGTGATGAATTTTTGGAGACACACAACGATAATTATACACCCACTTATTTCAACCTTGTCCCGGCGTTCATTAAGGCTTTTTGATAAATTAGGAAATTACAACAATAAGATGGCGCTCCGCCCACTGTCCCCACAATGCTGTCACTGAGCAGCTCATCCCGCATCTCATCCTTCACCCCTTTGTGCACGTTTATGAGACTGTCTACTTCACTTGCTCACCTCAACAATGCGCCTGCTCACTTCACGCCATTACTTCCTGCGATGATGATCCTCAGACTATTTCCCCTCGTCTTCTCATCCCTGCGTGGGCTCAATTAAAACACTTTCCCTGCCCCTCGGCTGCGGGGCCGGGGTTGGTGGCAGCTCTTTGCATGTGAGAGGTCTTCATTGTGCACTTCTTAAGGAGACATTATTTGATTTGACAAGATTTTATTTTGAGGGGCCAAGCTTACAGCATTCCCACCCCCGCCCCCCGCCCCTCCTCCCCGCTCTCCTCCATAATCCTCGACCAAAAAAGGGAGAAAATATGTAGCCTTTATTTTCACTTGGCTGCGTGGAGCTCACGGTGGGAGACGGAGTGTGTGTGTGTGTGTTAACTCTTTGTGAGGCGCACAGATTCAGCTGCACGGCGGAGAGTCGACACAAATTTTAGGTGAATGGTTTTAAGGGCTTGTACTCGAGTTATTCCAGAGTGTCGAGATTATCTCTGAGAGGATTTACCTCAGCGCTCTTCAAAAAGTAGCTGCACTTACTGTAATTCCAGCAGTCACTCCAATTGTGATCACATGGATTTTAATTTGATGTGATGACTTCCACAGACCCGGTGGTGAAAATCTGTTTGACCAAGCCGACACAAAATGAACGAATGAACGAGTGAGTGAAATCATCTGTCATGTCATGTAGTGTCATCTTATGTCTTAAAATCTTGTTTTCAGTAATACAGCTGACATGTTTTTGATTTTATTTGTCAGATTGTCTTTTTTAAAGGCAAAATCTCAATCATTAAAAAACATTTAAAGCAACAGCTCAACATTTTTGTTAAATTCTCTTCTCTGTCTTCCTTACTGGGAGTTAGATGAGAAGACTGATACCACTCTGATGTCTGTATGCTGAATATAAAGCTACTACCAGCAGCTATTAGCTTAGCTTAGCTTAGCTTAGCTTAGCTTAGCATCAAACTGGAAATGGGGGAAAACTAGCCTGGCTCTGTCTGCATGTAAAAAAAACTGCTGTAAAACCAAATGTGTAACTTCTACACTTATATATTGTACATATTAAAAAAAAATAAGATTAACTATTGAGCTTTAAAGATGCTGACAGAAGGGTTTTTTTTTTTAAATTGCAAAGGCAAATTTGAACTTGAAATTGAACAACATATAAAGCAGTGGTGCCCAACTGGTTGGTCGCGGGTTCATTCTGAATGGACCGCAAATGACTTGTCAAGTGAGTTAAAAACACTTAATTTTGAAGTGCAGTGAATATCTGGCACAGAGCTTTTATTTTGAAGTGCTGTTTCCTGCTGCCCAACACAAGTAGGACGCTTAATATATGCGTGGACCTTGAGCCAGCCAATGAGACATTTGGACCGTGGGGCTGGACCAGTCGGGAACCACTGCTTCAAAATATATTTAAATATATAAATATGAATAAATACAAAGTACTTTAAACAAATACACAAAAAAATCTGATAACAGCAAAAATCATTTTGCATGTGGATCAATAACTGTCTCTCAAACTCAGACATGTCTCTGTTCAGGACATACTGTCACTCGATGACAACAGCTATTCCACCTCACCAGTTCATCTTACATTGAGATGAAATGAAAAATGCTTATTTAACCCTTTTAAATCACATCTTCAGACATATTGTGTACCTGTTTAACAGTATGTGCCACAAAATTACAAAAGTTTCTTTGTTTTCTAAAATCAAATTATGTTTTCTTGTTGGTAAACAAAATATAACGTGCGCTTATTTGAACTAGTACCAACCAATTTCATTGAAAAAAATCACCACATCCACCCATCAATGGATGTGCAACTTTTAGCTGCACAGAGCGAAGATTACGTTAGCTAGCTAGCAACAGCATGCGTCATCAACGTGTTTTCATTTCCCCAGAATATCGTGATCACAGCCGCTGGCTATTAATTATTTACTGTGAGGAAAATGCTCAAGATGATGTGCAAGACATTTGACAGTAACTAACACTACATGGAACATATGACGGGCATCGTTCATCTTTCTCTGATTGAGACTATGATCCTGATGGCGTGAAGTTGCCAGGGCATTACCATTATGACACGCCCACTTTTTAACAAGCAAAACCTTGTTTTAATTTCCAAAACAATGTGGCTGAGGTCTAATTTGTTGATTCATGAAATATTCTGTTTCACTGGGAAATACGTCACAGTACTGAAGCTAACGACACTTTTACTTCTGTTTCACTGGGACTTTAAGCGAGGTTAACTTTGCTCACTTCCTTCGCTTTAATCAGCAAGTGGCTAGCAAGATTTAGGAACTTGTCTTGGGTCTGGAAGAGTTGTAGCAGTTATCCACTGACAAATAGCCTAAACTGTACACACACACACTCTCTCTACACAAACAATCAGGCACCAAAACAAGGTCCCGAAATCTGCCTTGTGATTTGGTTCGGTAGGTGCCAGTCGTATAGGAATCGGTACCATATTGGCACTGGGTGTTGGTACTCAACCTCTGCTGTTAGTGAATTGTGTTACTTTTGGGAAGAGCCAGACCAGATGTTTCCCCCATGGATGTATGTTTGTAAGAGAACTGATAGAGAGTTTAAGGCGACTTGACCTTCTAAATTTATCAGACCAAATGGAGCAAATTCTGATAGTGACAAGTCATGTCACGGGGGTTGTGATCACCAGTGAGCTGCACTTGTGTGTCCAAAATTATAGCAACACACGACCTTCGTCCCTCCCTTGTGTCAGTTAACTTAACCCTGGCTCGCACCAAAGACAGGCTAGTGTAATGAATTAAACCTTTGCTGAACATTAGCCAACAGAAAGGTCTGAACAGATGAAATACAAAAACGGAAAACACTTCCATTTTGTACCTTTTACTTACAAAGTGAAAAATCAAATTTTCTCGAGTGACTCTGGTGAAATTGATCAGTTAGGGCTGATTCTTAGGTGCGGACTCAGTAGCAGTGTGTACATTGTGTTTCTGACTTGTGTGTTATAAATAGGGGCAACCAGCCCCTTAATATTTTTGTCCCAGCTCTCCCCTGATAATCACATTCCCCTGGCAGATAAAGTCAGCTTGTTTTCTGCAAAATAAGATTCCAAGACTTCAATACATGACGTGTTTAGATGGATTTTCTGTTTTTTTCCATGTTGGGTTCATTAACAGTACGATCTTCTGTGGTTATCAAAGCATCTCCACTTTTTATTTTAACCCTTTTCTATCTACTAATCCCCACAGCTGACCATAACCCCACACAGAAACACTTGAACATTTACATCAGATATTCTTTATTATTCTATGTTCCAGATGAAAGGCCTGTGCGATCAAACACGTGACGGTCAAACTGTTGCAACATACCCCCCCCCCCCGTCTGTGAATGTGTACTGGAGACAGATATTTGCCTTACCTTTTATGCAGGACTGAATGATTAGCAGAGAGAGCGAGTGAAGTGGGAGGAAGAAAAGATGAGACATAAAAAGATGGCAACAAGGGAGCTGAAAAGAAAGCACAGTTCTCCAACGTTCTGCAGCCATGGCGGCGGCGGTGGCAGCAGCAGCAACAATAACAGTATTAACAGGAAGAAGAAGAACATGAGGCATGACACACACAGTAGCTACCGAGAGACTGTTCATCCATTGTGCCAGACCTTGAGCGGTGCGTGGCTAATGATTCAAGCAGACGGGAGGAGGCTTTGGTGGTTGTTTTGCAGCGTACATTACTCTTAATTTTCTACTTGATGAAAGAACGCGGCTGCGGCGCAGTGACCAATGGAATTACACAAAGCGTATTACTAGCGTCAGATTATTACTGTTTCAGGGTGCAGAGAAGTAATTTCCCTTAAAGCTCATTGAATCATGTTGAAATAATTATGTTTAATCTGCGAGAGGTCACTTCAGACAAAACACACGTTTAAAGTCATCTTTTCTTCCTGCAGGCGAAACCTTCACTGCAAATATCTATTAGTAACATTCATTCAAGGATTTTTGCATGTACTGTATTTAGCTTCATAGCCTTTCATTCTTTCATCACACCGGGTTTTTCTGTTTATTTCCAAGCAATCTCCCAGCGGTGGTTGAGGTACAGTGTGAGCAACCATACAGAGAGGTTTAGAGAAAGAAGGCTGGAAACTTACAATGCATGTGAAACGGCTGTGCTGGGAAACGTCCCGGCTCCTCATCGAGACGCTGCAGTGTTAACGTTGGCCATCCACACCGAGTTTTCTTAGGAACCAAAGTTAAATTTCTGTTCTCATGATGAAATATTGATGTTGTTCCATGTATGTGCCTTGAGGTTGAACTTACAATGTAAAGTCCTTGAAACCTTTAAATGTTTTTGCACAAACTGTAAATACTTAAGTGAAGCTTTTTGAAAATAAAAGAGCCATTGGATTTCAGCGATCACTATCTTTTATTTTAGACATCGAAATGAGAGTTTGTATTCTGTTGTGCTTCGAAGGTCCCATACTGTAAAGTCAAATGTCTTGTTTTAAAAAGAGCAGGTGCAGGTGGTGTATAAATGGTGCCATGTCATTGTTCCAACAGCTCATAATGTTGAAGCCTAAATAGTCCAAAAGTTATCCCACTTCCTGTTTCTCCGAAAATACACACCACCTGCTATTTGTTTCAGTTAACCAGTGTCATTTGAACCATCGATTCTGGGTGTTTTAACCGATCCTTCGTGGCAGTTCCCAGCGCCATTTTAGCCACCAATCACAGGTATTTTCACCAACGCTCCACAGCGTCATCTAGCAGCCTTTCAGCCACAAATCCTGAGTGTTTTTGTTGACCCTTTGCTGTGTTTCCCAGCATTGTTTAGCCCTCAATTCCAGGTGTTTTTACCGACCCTCAGTGGCGTTTCTCAGTGGCATTGGAGCCACCAATCCTGGATGTTTTTCTCGAACCTTTTTGGCAGTTCCTAGCGTCATTTTAGCCAGTGATCCTGAGATTTTCTTACCAACCCTTCATGGTGTTTCCCAGCAGCATTTGAGCTACCAGTCCTGAGTGTTTTTACCAACCCTTTGCAGTGTTGCCCAGCATGGTTTGAGCCACCAAACCTGGATGTTTTTACCAGCCCTTTATGATGTTTTCCAGTGTCGTCTGAACCACCTGTCCTGGGTGTTTTTACAGACCCTTCAAGGTGTTTCCCAGCAGCCTTTGAGCCAGTGAACCCAGACCACCGGCCCATCCCTGCTTTTTTAACAGCCTTTGTGCTACCAAACGTGGGCATTTGAAGCCATAACATGATTTTTTCCTAACCACACATTAACCACAACGTTGTTGAGAAACGTGAAGTTTCAGTGTATCTGCTACAAAATAATATACAAATGTAACACATCTGTGGTTCACATAAACTTTTTCTCGCAATTGGGTTGTCCAGTTGCAGGGAGTGGTTTTGTTGGGGATGGAAATGAAACCTCGGAGCCATGAGCATTTGTTTCTGGTATAATGGGCTGTTGGAGAGATGGGCCGATGATGAGAAATGAGCTGAAAATGTTTGTATATGTTTCTGTAAACCACAGATTCGTTACATTTAAACATTTTTATGGAGCAGATACACTGAAACTTTACATTTGTCAATAATACTGTGGTCAATGTGTGCTTATGTTTAGACACCAAAACCACTGGATTACAGTCAGGAAAAGATCAGTTTTAAATACACACATTTGGTAGCACAAAAGTCACTGGCTCAGTGTCTGTGGATCAAACGCTGCTGGTAAACACAGCAAAGGGTCGGTAAAAACACCTGGGATCAGTGGCTCAAACACTGCTGGGAATCTGAAACAAACTGCAGGAAGTGTGTATTTTGGAGAAACGGGACTGAGTAATGGGTGTTGGTTTTTGGGACAATGGACGGTCGGAAAAATGGCTTTCAGTCCAACGGGACATTTATTTGAACTGAAGGGGGCTTCAAAATTTTAGGCCGAATTTTGGGCTGTCCTTGATATAAATACTGTGAAAGCATTAAAATACCTAATAAACAGAGAAATGCACAGTCCGTATTCAGAGACTGTGCCTTAAAGCGAGCCGTCAGGACGTCTGTGCAGTTTTGATGTCACAACTATACTCTGTAAAGGTAGAAACTGCTGCAACAGTGACATCACAGTCCGTCCTTGGCTGCAATGATGGTGCAGAAACACAGAGAGTGCTGATGTGTATGACCTGGAAATGCTGACCAATCAGAGCAGCCCGGGCTTTTTCATGAGGGGGTCTTAAAGAGACATTTGCTCAACAGGGCGTCTCACAGAGAGAGTGAATACAGGTGTGTTCAGGCAGACAGTGTGAGGAGAAAAAAGTGTTTTCTGAACATTAAAGCACATAAAAAATAAGAATGTGTGACCTTTATTGGGTGATCATACATCCTTTATTAGTTTTGTGTGTTAGATGAAGTTGTCAAGCAATCTGAGGAGAGTGTTTGTACATAGCTAAATCTATTTTGGGTCAGACACTAGTAATTCAGGATCAAAGATGTGTGCTGTACCACACCATGCCAAGTTATCCTCTTATTTCTATACAGGAAGCTTGAGACATCTTAGCGTAGTCACCGCAGCTTAGCGTTCAGCTGGGGAAAATCCAGGATACTCTCTCATTCTACTTGTATGGCACAACTAAATCCCAGAAAGGGCTCTTTCCCCAAATCCCTGTGTTCTACCAACATCCAACTTTTTTTCCTCCCCATGACCACATCCCAGTGTTGCCTCTGCAACCTCCAGCCCGCTAAAAAAACCCACATTAGCCCCGTCTTAATTCACTCTGACAATTAACCACAGCAGAAACACAAAGAGGGCGTGCCACTCTGGTATTCTGAGCGGGAAATTGGTGTTTTTCTCAAAATCCCCACATGTCAAAATGTGATTTGTTATTGCACAATCGGAGGCTTTTTGGGGGAGGCCAAGAGAACTGAGGCTTTGGCACTAAAATCATTTACTTTCCTGTTCTCCCTACTTTGTGTTGTATAATGAGCATCATGAAAGATTCAGTGTGAGCTCACCCCTGTGCATTTGTCAGGAGCGGGTTCTTTGTAACGACCCTCTGGTTTAAAACGGGGACATCCCCATGTTCCCAGGGTTCAGTGTCCCCCAGCTCTGTATTCTCTTAAATGCACTGTAGCTATGTAAAGATACAGTGGAGTGATGGTTTCCTGAGCAGAGAATGAAGTCACACTTCCTCTGTGTGTGCTGTAATTCAGCACCAGTGGATGTTAGGGCCTGTTTGCATCTCACTTGCTAGCTCATTGCTGCTGCTTTGTCATGCGCTCGTATGGTGGTTACTGCAGATATCAGACAGCATTGTTGCAGAAGTGTAGCACCTACCTTCCATTTCCCGACTGGAGCTGCTGGTTCAGCCACCTTCATGTGTGCAGACAATTCATATGCTCTGCTTTCAGATGGAGCCCCTTGAAAATAACACCTAAGAGACACTGTACATCCGTCATCATAGTGATTTACAGATATTAAAATATGTGGCTGTTGATGAAAGAATTTATTTTTCTTTCAGTTATTCTTTTTTACATGTAATACAATATTATCAGGCCACAAAATCACAGTTATCAGTGGTTATAACCCTCATATGTATTGGTTAAAATGGGCCTGCCTCACTTACTATGTTAAAAGGTATGAGCAGCCACACTGTCAACGTGAGCAGAGCATCTAGAGAATAAGAGGCTCGCCTAGTTTTTGCACGCGACTCACATGGTTTTCAGCAAAAACAGACAGCGACATTGTACCACCTTTCACAACAGTTTCAAAGTCTAGATGTAAATATTCCTTTTAAACAGAAAACATCCTGTTTCCGTTTCAAAATAAAAGCCTTCTGACATTGTTTCTGTGGACAGAATCCCTTCATTTGTTTTAAAAAGGCTTTTCATTGTCAAATATCGTCATGATTGCAGCGGCTGCACGGCTCCAGTGCAGTACCAGCTTTTAACTGTGGAAATACAGTAATTATAGCAGTAGGCTGTTACAGTGTCTGTGTGAACACTGCATGCGTGTGAGACGCAGCAGTTCAGCAAAGTAGTCGTGATGCACTGCTCATGCGGGCAGTGTGAACCGTGCGTTAGGTTCAGAAGGTCTTCATCAGGCGATGGAATCAGCATCTACATTTATTGCCAGGCAGCAACCTCTTATGACCGTAATAATCATTAGAGGAGCAAAGGAGCAAGTCAGGTGATGTTGTATAAAGAGCGAGCAAGTCCACGTGGGGCGAGTCAGTAAAACAGGACTTTCACCTAGGAGAGCGTTTGTGTCCCACGTGAAATCAAAAGTCACTGTACACCAAAGTGAACAAAACTGTGACCCTTTAATGTTGTGTATACAAACAGCCATTTAATTAGCTGATAACGGCATCTTTACCTAATAGTAGGTTTGGCGGGCCCCTTCTATCACACCTATGAGGCTACAAGCCACTGATAACGGCCTTTTGATGGGCTGATAACATCTGAATTGGGAGCTTTTGGGTGATCAGTGCATACAAAGCTTTGCTATATGTTTGAATAACTGTTCTAATAAAACTTTTGAAAGGTCTCCTTACTGTGTCATACTAAGTGGATACCAGACTTCAGCAAAGTGAAATCAGCTGCTTGAAAACATCTGCAGTGCTGTCAAATTATAAGCAGTCAAGTGTGTGTAAACAGGAAGTGACTGTAGCATCACAGGCTGCAACATGACTTCCAAAAATGACAGTTTCAGGGTGAAAATGAAACATTACTCTGTCCTGTAAATGTAGGCATAACTCATCTTCTCACTCATAAATGAACTCATTAACAGGTATATGTTTCAGTTATGCTGACCTAGCTGACATTATTAGGTTGGTGTTGTTTTATTAAACAGTATTTTGACAGGTCCGACTTGTCACCATGTTTTATATTACCTCTGTTATTCTTCAGTGCATGTGTGTCAAATTAGCACCAAGCTAACTGTTGTCAGCTGCTCAACAGCTGTGGCTTTATCATGGCTTTTCTTTATTTTATATCATATAAAGTTACAAAATCAAATTCGTAAGTGTAAATATTAAACGTTTCAGAAAATGAAGACAAAGTAATCCATGTGAGCAAAAACTTTCAGACTTTTCAAAATATTCTGTTTCCATCGTTTTTCTTTTCTTCTTTGTCTACAAACTACTGCAACTGTTTACACACAGATGTCAGTGAAACATGTAATCATGGTTTCAGATGTTGTTAACTTCTCCCTGATTTCAGATGATATTCCTGCTGCAACGTGTCAGCTTGTGTTTAGAAGGTTTTGTTAATGATTTTTCGCTGTAGAAAGAGCAGCTGTATTCTGTGACCCCGGCTGCAATGACAAAACATTCTCATTCTGACCTTGTCACATGCCACTGCAAAGTCGTGGACTTTCGATGTCAGCATATGACGTGCAAGGTACCCTGGGTGTGTTGGTTGTTGA